CTCACTGCGTGGCTGACAGGAAGCAGAGAAAGAGACTACATACAGGAAGTGGCCAGGGCAAAGCCAAATCCCCAAGGACAAGCACTCAGCGACCTAATTCCACCAGCTAGGTCCCACCTACTTTTCACCATCTCCTAGCAATAACATCATATTTATTAATCTAACAAGTGGTTATGCCACTGTCTAGACAAGATCCCTCGTGATTCAGCCACCTCCCCAAAGCCCATCCTCTGGCAACTAAACTTTAATTACATGAACCTGTGGGGACATTTCATATTCAAACTCAAAATGTTCTGCGTCTGTCTCTGAAGTGCTCAGGGCCACCCTATAATGAAAACAAACAAACAAACAAACAAACAAACAAACAACTTTTAGTTTATTTCCAAGATCTCTGAAGTCTTAAACAGTTCCAACGTCACTCAAAATTTTAAGCCAGGGCAAGTTCCAGAACAGTCAGAGCTACGTAGACAAAACCCTGTCTCGAAAAAAAAAAAAAGAAAGAAAGAAAAGAAAAGAAAGAAAGAACAAGAAACTTGTTAGTAAAAACATTTCTGTAGTTGTTGGTGTTGCTTAGTTTTGCAGTCAGATTTCATGACGTCCTAACATTTTGATCCTTTAATGAGGCTCTACTGCCCCCATGTGGTGTAGACTGTCCAGACACCTCTGTAAAGAGAGAAACGGTAGATTTTAGACTTCTAGGGCTGTATGGTCTTAGTGCTCTTGTATAGTGAAAGTAGCCACAGATAACTCATTGAGGAAGATGTGGTTACAGCTGCAGCGGAATTCCGGTCTGCCTGTCAGCCTCTGCAGATTCACAGATTTGGCTTTAAAGAGTGCAGAGAGACACCAGGGCAAACAGTGGCAGGCAGGTCTCAGAATTAGGATCCCCCTAAGCAGCCACAGGGAGAACCACGGAGAGGGATGTGTGCTGACTGGATTAGAAGTGAAGTGAAAGGAACACTTTGGATCTCAATCAAGATTCTGCGACTCCTTGAGAGAAACTCCTCGGAATGAAGGTCCTAGGACTCAGGAGAATCCAAGATGATCGACATAAGAACCAGAGACAAATTAACCAGCAGTTCTGACACTGTCTCTCTGAGTCAATTACAAAGGGAGAAAGCAGCCATAGATCAAACGGATGTGTTCCAATACAACTTTACACAGTTTTTACCTGCAACCCCTCTTGGTTTGTGTAAATGTTTTGTCTGCATGTATGTCTGTGCACCATGTGCATTCTTGGTGGCTGGTGGACATCTGAGAGGGTGTTGGATACCCTGAAACTGGAGTTATGATCTCTATATATAGTTGTGATCTACCATGTGGGTACTAGAAACTGAACCTGTTCTTAAGTACCTGGCTATCTCTTCCTCCCCTGGAGATGAGATTTAAATTTTTTTTGGATGCCTAGAGTCTTTGGTGTGGGGCCAGATCTACTGTCTGTTATAAAACTTCACCAACGAGTCTATTGTGAGAGTGTTGATTAAAATACTATACCTCTGCTTGTAATTGTAGCTGACATTTATTGAGTACATACTATACATCGAACACTAAGCTAAGAGCTTCCTGTATACTTTCTCACTTAATGCTCACAACTCTATGAATTGGGTACTAATATTTTACATATTTAGAGGGTGAGATGATGTAATTTAATTAGGGTAAGACAATGTTAGCAGGAAGGACAAACCCAGAGAATAGCCCTAAGGCCCCATCATTTGGCTGTTCTTTTTGCTCTTATTTTAACTGGGAAACACTTCAGCATCTGAACTTAACCAAATGAACAATTAAAAAAAACATATAGTTTAAATAAGGCTCACAAAGCTAGTCACAAGCATTTTCAGCTAGATTTAATTAATAAACTTTCTCTGGTACCACTGAACTCTTGCTAAAAATTGAATTCTTTTTAGACCTTGTCCATAGTGTTGATCTATAATGGAAATGTATTAAGAAATGTATTTCCATTTGTTTTCTGTCTTACAGAGTCTCTCCATCTGGCTCCATATGCATGATATGCTGATCTTTTTAGGTTATTAATGTTCACTGTCAAGGTGACATAGTATACTGGTTTTAGATATGGGCTTGGGGCATAGTCTTCTGTTTGAAACCTAATCCTGCCCCTTGCAGGCTAGGACTCAATAAACACCAGCTAGTCTGCGAGCATTTTAATCTACTGGAATGGGCTGACTCGGACTGTGACTCCACTTTGTGGTCTGTCTTCAGGAAGTAGGAAGCAAGAGTCATCAGGCTGGATGGAGAGCGCCTACTGAGACATCTCAGCCCATTTAGGTGTCTTTAAATAATAGCAGCCAAACTCAACTGTCATTACCACTACCACAATAACAATAGCCGACGTTTAGTGGGCACTTGCTGTATGCTATTTTAAGTGCTTTTTATGAGTTAATGTAATCATTTGGTAATCCTATCAAGCAGGTGATATTACCTGCACTGTGTAGGTAAGGGATTAAGTTACATGTATAATAGATGGCAAAGACTTTTTTTTCAAACCCAAGGTCATATGCTAAGCTAAGTGTTCTCTGCCATTGAGTCCCAGCCCTTGGCTTTTTGAGACAAGGTCCCATCCAGGCTGGCCTTAAGCTCACGACCCTTCTACCACGGCCTCAGAAATGCTGGGCTTACAGGTGTGTACAGGTGTGTACTGCCCCTGAAGAGTTTTGACCCATGCAAGTCTAACTGCATGATCCACGCTCTATTTAAATTTATTTTTAGTTTTGAGAAGGCTCTTGCTAAGTTCTAGCTTGGAACTTGCTATGTAGAACAGGTTTCCTGGAACTCACAGAGACCCCTTGCCTCTGCCTGCCAAGTGCTAGGATTGAAGGCGAGTGGCATGGCTCCTGGATATACTCTTCCTGTTGAAAAGTAGGACACCGAAGAGAAGGATCTGTATTTATTTTAATTTTCGTGTTACTGATCTGTAGGTTTTTTTTAAAGATTTATTTATTTATTTATTTATTTATTTATTTATTTATTTATTTATTTATTTATTTATTATGTCTACGGTGTTCTGTGAGGCCATCAGTTCTCGTCTCATTATAGATGGTTGTAAGCCACCATGTAATTCCTGGGAATTGAACTCAGGACCTTTGGAAGAGCAGCCAGTTCTCTTAACCGCTAAATCATCTCTCCAGCCCATTGAACCAGTGTAGGTTTTAAAGTAAGGATTAAGCTGAGTGGTGGTGATACATGCCTTTAATCCCAGTACTAGGGAGGCAGAGGCAGGTGGATCTTTGTGAGTTTGAGGCCAGCCTGTTCTACAGATCAAGTTCCAGGCCAGCTAGAGCTACACAGAGAAATCCTGTCTTGACCCTCCCCAAAACAACAACAACAACAACAACAACAACAACACACACACACACACACACACACACACACACACACACACACACACAC